CGGCGGTGGCCGAATTTATAACTTGTGGTGGGCAAGGCCGTGGTCTAGGCAGCCCGGAGTTTTCCTCCGTGGCATCCCAACAATTATTCCATTCACACACAGAAGAAGGCAATGGCAAACCACTTCTGGATCATCTGCCAAGAACGTATATGAACAGGTCCCAGTCCGAGAAAAGGATGGAAGGATCCTTTTCATATGGACCTGTCGTCAGACAGAACACTAAATAAATAAATATAACATTAAAATAAGCTTCCATTAAACTATATTATATTTACCGTAAACTTCGCACATTGAAGGTGTTTCTGAATGTCACATAATGAACTTGGAGACTTTGTCCAAGGGTCAGGATATCTGATTCTTGGTCTACAATTGCATTTCAAAGGAATTTGGTCCTTCCCGAATTAGCAAGGAGATGAGCTTCGTGTCCCAAGGAAACCAAGTGACGTTACACGCAGGACCCCTTTGTGAACAGACGAATCTTTGCAGACTTCTTTCTCACGGATCGACGTGTCTCGTAGTCATGGTGACAGCCTCGCGTGAGTTGGAACAGCCCTAGAAGTTTCTTTCTTTCTTTATTTTCATCATCCTACTAATGTCTGCCATAGATTTGTTGTGTTTTCCACTGACTCTGTCTGAGGTGTTAATCCTGCGACATCCCGCATATAATACACGTGCTAATGTTATGATTTACGATATAATTAGCTCATACATCAACAGTTGTAACGTCATAATAAAAACCTAATTACTCAAGTTACTTTGTTGTGGCGGTCGGCGGCTCGTAATTACTTTGACTCTGAGGTGACTCTGAATCACCACGGCGACGTGTACATGGCCGTTATGCTGAAATAAGAAAAAGAATAACATCGTGTTCATAAACGTATTTAGATTTTACAACTCGGCTGGTATCTAAAACACCCTTTTCGTGAGAAAAATAAGACGATTCACTTCTGAACTATGGACCTTCTGATTTAAATTTCCGTGTTTTATAACACTCAGACGAAAGCACTTCGCCGTCAGCTACGTGTGAAAGCTAGTTGTTGTATAAAGTATACAAACGTTGCCATGGAAATGTTCATACACTAACTGGAAAATATTATAAACATGAAAACGAGTATTGAAAGCGTCAAGATTTCACTGGCACGCCTGCTTTACTCCTCAGGGTAATTTAATTTAATTAGCATTATTTCAGTTGGCAAACGTAAATGAACTTATCAATGGATTCTGTGAAGGAACTGATCTGGGAAAAGGAATATGTAAATGAAAGTGAGAAGTTCGTCAAATGAAAATTATTAAGAAAAGTCTTCACTGGAGCGGTACATAAAAGGTTCCCTACGGGTTGAAAAACTAATAATATTCTACTCCTGATTAGAAAAACACAATAATTAGTCTGAAGACTTTTTAATATTAATATTTTTAATTTTAATATGAACTGTGCTGGGTATCCATTTCTTCTTAATATCGCTATTAAAGTTGCTTATTCATTTATTCAAAGTGTATTAGTTTGTGATCAGCGTACTAGCCCATTAGGTCCCGGGTTGGATTCCAACCGTTGAAAAAATACAGGCAACTCTCGGATTACGAACGTTCGATTTACGAACGTCACAATTCATTCAAAATTTCATAAAGTCGTCAATAGATTGAGTTCCTTATAAAACGAATTGCCAAACGTATAGTCACTGAACGTAGCCTGCCTCTCTACTAGTCTAACTTTATCTTTAATAATCTTTGAATCTGGCATATATGAACCAATATGACAGCGTTAAAACCTTAGACTTGTATCCGAGAAGTACCGGGTTCGAGCCTTGCACGATGACGAACATTCTCGTGTTTGCTCTAGAATCTCAAAGCGAACGCATTCAGACAATCCAAAACCGCCCAAACACTTAGCTACTCACCATTGAAGAGTTTATTCCTACCAGAAACATCAGTGTCGCCCGATAGGCTTGCCGTATTAATCCAAACCTTACTTCGTATCCCGCCCTTTTACTGTTTCCACAAATCCTCATTTCCTGCAGCTAACAAAGTCATTGAAGTGCTGTTCGGAGAGGTTAGCTCTGTAGCCAAATGAGAGGCCAGCGGGGTGGAGAGCCAAAACGGAAAAAGCTTTCTGTACGAGTCTGATAGAAAACATTTACTCCAATACTCTCCTTAGACCACGTTCTCGTGGAATTCTGTTTAGTTACACACGTCAATAGAGGCTAGAAAGTAGATTTAACAAAGTAATTCACAGTAAAAAATATGCCGGAGGTTATTTATGATTTCGGTATACTTAGTCGATGTTTTCTGAACAGTCAGTATAACGCCTCCTAGCGTGACCTTGACGCGGCCGGGCAGACCGAGTGGCAACTACGAAAGCAACTCTCTAGAAAAGTTGCGAGTGATATACATGTGGCTTGTGTCGAGTTGTAAGTCGATCATGGCATCACTGTTGTCGAATTTTATTCTATTTTTCACCAGCCTGCATGTACTAGCGAATGGACTGGACACATTTCAATGAATCTTGGATTCTCGCCGCTACGGAAGGACGTAAATTGAGGGTCTTTAAGGACTGCGTGCTGAGGTCAGTGTCTGGACCCAAAACGTCATGAAGTGACAATGTGAAAGGGAGACAATTACGCCATATTAAGCTTTGTAATCGTGAGTTAGTATTCGGCATATATTATTACAGTAAAAAGCTCAAAACGGATGAGAATGACTGGGCTTGTAGTATGGGCGGGAGAGATAAAATCACACTAAATTTTAGTGGGAATACATAAACGGCATAGCCAGTCGTGGACAGCCGACAAAGGACGGTCCTCCATCGTGAGGGTTGAGCGGGGGTGAGGCCAACAGCCCCTCCCTCTACAACAAGAACAGCATTTTACTAATTGCTACATATGACATCACATATGAACGACTTAAACGGGTCATTTTTAACAAGCTAAGTAATAAGAGAAATATATTAAAATGTATCTTAGTTGAAATAGGATATGGGGGTGTGGATCGAGTTATTCTGGCTCCGGTATATGATTGGTGGCTCAACTGAACACTGAAATTAAACGTCGAATGTAAAAAAATACGCGGAGTGTCTTGTCTAGCTAAGCTTATTCTTGTTCTCAAAGAGGACTCTGCTTCATTGAGTTAATTATGTAGTTAGTTACATAGTCAGTCGGTAATGAAATCTGTGATAGATTCACATTCTGTCGGCCATCGTCCTCGAATGCACGTGGGCCAGTCACTGTCTGTCCGTCCGTCCGTAGCCGTTGCAATTAAGCGGCCATCAGCGCCTGCAGCGACACGTTACGCAATGCAGTTCGTTATTACGTTGGCAGCGCCACCACCCCGGAACTTTACAGACAGCCAACAGTATTGATTATGTCTGATCCGGCAGCCAGACATCCTCGTTAATTAATGATCGGGTATTCAATACGAGCTATGCACTCTTCAGAGAAGTGCTAATTCATTTACATGGAAAACACTCTAAGCTGGGTTTATAAAACTTTTGGATTAGCTTTGCGCGATGTTTATGTGCAAACTGTGTACATATGTTGTGTGGAATACACGTAAAAGCGAACACAAATTTACTGTCCCTTGTATTTTAAGCTAATTATATAACTTTATGCAACACAACAAGGTATAAATTTTATTCACAAATTGTATTATAATAAAAGGCTAATATTTTAATAAATTAAGATTAGATTAAATTTCTGGAACGGATCTTAATTTTTTCTGTGAATTAACGGAAAAAGAATAAATAATAATGAATCAACCTAACACCACGAGATGCTGTGCTACATAAATGTTTGCCACCATTCAGTCTGAAAGAATCTAAAGATGGTTTTCTTATGCGTTGTAGCGCCGTGTAGTCTGGTAGGCGTTTACCGATGTTTCAAAGGTCCTTGCTGCCTCCATCATCAGGGCGATGAGCAGTTATCAGATTGCCTGTTAATGCAACATTTCTGAACCGTAAAATGCGTCATCTCCTTTGGCGCGGAATTCTCCGTAGCTCTGAATAATCGAGATTAACAGATCATTTAATCGACTAAATTATTTTTTTGAATCGCTCATGATTAATCTGTAGCTCAGGAACAAGGCGCGGCGGAAGACAAGTTTGTTTCGTTAGCAAACACGCGTTGCTGACAACGACGCAGATTGATGCCTGGCGTCACCATGGCAACGATATTACTCCAGAAGAAGATGCCGCGGAGCGCAACAGTCAGCTTATCAAACACACGATTTATGAGAAGGTCAAGCCTTCATACAGCCATTTTTCTTTTGTCCACGTGCTTGGACGTTGTCTGCAAAGTAACGTGGCCTTGTTCCTTACAACTTTCGATACGTTTTGCCTTACTGCGTAAATGGCAGTGGGAACAACGTCTAGTGAAAGGTGTCACTGAAATTTCCGTTACTGAATAAGTCGCATAAGACGGTCTTCAACTAATTATTATAATCGTTATCGAATTATTAGTCCAGAAAATTATTATCTGACGTTGGAAGAATTTTCCACTTGTTTTCACATGTGTTTCTATAGTTCTTTTATTTTTCAAAAGACTTTATAATCGAGACTTCCCGGTTCAAATACCACCTAAGATTTCAAATGCCTCGGTTTCTCGTCTACAGAAATACAGAGCTGTATCTTAACAAATGTTACAACATTTTTTACCCCACATAATGTAATTGACTACTTATAAACATCTCACCGTTCGATGGTATACAACCCACGCAGCTGAAAGAACGTCGTTAAATATAAAAATCTACAGAATATATATAGCATCGAACGTGTTGGAAAGATGACAGTGAATTATTCAGAAGAAGAGATTGGGAAGGAGCTGGTTCGCTGTTTGAAGGAAGTGTATTGACTTTCGTCTGGACTGAAGGCAAACTCTGTCAGTTGGACTGAAAGCGTGTAACTGGGCTAAAATGAGACGAGTACTTTTAGCATAAAGCTCAACCAATCCGTTATATAGACTTTTTGGTGACGTAGTGTAGAGTAAAATAAAAGTCATGCAATATTTAAATGACACACGTTTTATTTGTAAAAGAAAAATACATTTAAATCAGAAAACAAAAGACAATGTCATAATAAGCACTGCAAATGTCCACAGCGTTCGGCTACGTGTGCATTAACTCTTTTCTTCGTGTTCGAAAGCAAACCCTGTGATGAGTTTGTCACGGAAATGCTTCACCAGTCGAGATATTGTCGACTTGTTTGCCACAGGAGAATCGGGAAACGCATTTCAAAACTCATTCTGG